AGGTTGTGTGCCCGACAGTCAAGCTGGACTGTGACAGCACCTGTCTGTCCAACACCATGCAGTGCCTTGAGGCAGCAGCCATGGGGAATGTGGATGGGATGCTCATGAAGGTGCTACAGGCCCGGAACAACAGCACCAGCGCCCAGCTGAGCATCGAGCCTGAGACATCATCTTCGCAGCAAAGCGTGTCCCCCTGGTCAGGCATCATGAGCAACCAGCTCAAGTTTGATGACCAGAGTGACATGATCAACGCCCTCAACTACGTGGTGCCCTATCTCTCAGAGGAAAACCCAGAGGATGTGCAGTCAGCTCTACTGCCACTCATTGCAAGGCTTTTTCCAAATGCATTTCATGGAGATAACACAGATTCTTTAAAAAAGGATATAAAGAACTCCTCCTTTATCCATGAATCCAACAAAAATAAATTGGAAGAGCTGAATTTGCTCAGAAATCGGTCAAATGTAGAAATTCAGAAAAAAATGGAGGAGGTTAAGAAGGAAGAAGACACTGTCAGGCGTATACAGCCCAGCATTTTGGGTCCCACCTTGGAGCCCCAAATATCTAGAACACTGAGAAGGGCTCCGACACAGGAAAACAGCATGGCAGAGAACCTGAGAGGAAGAAGGCTGCACACAGTGGACAGGGTCCTCAGGGGCCTGAAGGGCACAGGTAAAAGGCTGCTGCAGGACAGGAGGAAGCAGCAGGTCAGGGACAGGCAGGTCACCTGGCCCCTTGCACAAGCAGCCTCAGGGACCCCAGTGCCACGGAGCTGGAGCAGTGTCATGGGGGCCCCCAGCCCCAGGAACCTGGAGAGATTCTCCATCCTCACAGAAGGACAGAGGGTAGCCACCCCTCCCTCCCTGCCAGCTCCCTGGCTGGGCAGGTCCCCCACCTCCACCCCTGCCAGAGCCCAGCCTGTGGTGAGAAGCAGAGGGAAAGACTTCACCCACAGCATACGGTTTCTAAACCACGGGCAGGACAGAGTGCTAAGAATGAAGGCAACTCCACCTGCCTGGCAGTCACAAAAGAGTCATCACTTGGCTGAAACTCTCTTCCCTGTGTCCCTCAGAACAGCCCAGACCAACCTGAGGGCACAGCTCACCAAGGGAAATGCACGCAGCGGCCTGACCCCAGCAAAGAGGCCTGGGTTCCGGGCACGGAGGAGCCTCATGGACTCCCCTCCAGGAGGCTTCCCGTCAGCACAAGGAGACCTGAGTGTGTCTGCCACAGCCTCTGCCTCAGGCTCGACCTCGGCCCCCACACACATCACCTCCCCAGTGCTGTGGTCTCTGGGGGTCGGGTTAGAAACACAGCTGAATCACTTGCTGCAGCCACTCATCCCTGACTACAGCGTGAGATGGCTCATTGCCCAGGTCGTCAGCATTTTGAAAATGGACTGCGCTGAGCACCCCGTGTCCCCCTCCTGCCAAGCTCATCTCCAAGTCTCACCTCCTGCTGATGCGTCTGACTGAGCAGCTGGAGTCCACTGTGTCCCAGGCCCAGGGGGAGCAGCAGCAGCTGTATTCTGACCCCATGGTCACAGAGGGGACAGAATATTCTGACCCCATGGTCACGGAGGGGACAGAAGCCCATGGTAAGCAGAAGGGAGAGCAGACACCTTGGATGTCCAGAGAACATGTTCTTGAAGGCATGTATGTATACAACTGGATCATCAGGGTATTAGCAGCCCTGGTTGTGATGATGATACCTGTCATCATCCTCACCATCGCCTTCTGCGTCAGGCACAGAAGAGCCAGAGTGGAAGATCCAGAGGCCGGGTGGAACCCCAACGAAGAGGCCAAGCCTGCAGAATCAGCCAGTTACAGCGAGAGTGGTGTGCCAGTGGAGGTGGTCATCTAGTGACCTTGTCCTGTGAGTGACCAGCAAAGCTTATTTTTCCCTCATCAATAAAGACGTTATCTCCTATTAAAAAAAAACAACTGGAAAAAATTAATCATCTTTCTGTTTTAACTTGACTAATAGGTGGTAATCATTTCCTCAAGTTCTATTAACAGTCGTGTGTTACTTAAATAGGAAAATAATGAGAGAGAGAGAGACAGAGAGAGAGAGCACATGTTGTTAGTATTATGGGTTGTGGATTTTCCTTCTGTGATTCATAATATTTCTCCTTCAATATACTCAGGGGAAAATATTCCCCTCTTTAGGATAAGAATCATTAGATTTTTCATGTAAAATGACAATGGTGGCAGATTTTGTGAAAAACTGACAAATCTAGTTTGCAAGTAGTATTATCTAATAAGAATGAACATGCAATTATAAATTATAGTTGATTTTCTTGTACTTCCAGGTCTTGGTGTATGATCTCTCTGCTGGAATTCCCATTTCCCAGCTTCCTGGACTCCCTATCCTATTAAACTACTTCATCTGTTTTTATACCTTTCACATCTCACAAAAGATCATCACCTCCTTGACTAGATTAAATAATCTTGATTAGATAGTCATTCATTGGCTGTGCTACTCATATTTCAGTACTTCCAGGCACTAATGGAGAGCTCTGCGGTAGTCATAGTCTTACAGCATACAGTAAACTAGGAAGACAAACATTTATTAGTTATGTTGTCATAAAGTGAGAAAGCACAAGATCCTATCCAAGTGAGCACTGCAGGTGTTTTACCTAGTAGGAACGGGTTTTCAGGAAGGATTTCCTGAGGACAGGATTTCAATGTTGGGATTCATCCATATTGGATATCAATATTAACAGTGGATAGGTTTGGCACTCAAAGGTTTTCCAGGTGGAAGAACTGCATGGTGTGTGAAAATCCTGAAGAAGAAAGTATGGGGTGTGTTGAAGAAAATATAACAGATTATCCAGCTAAGGAAAGAAATGTGGCAGAAATCAGAGCAGGAGGAAATGACCCCACTGCTGTAAACATGTAGAGGTGCCTGGAGTCAGCACAGGACAGAAAACTTCCTGCAGTCAGAAAGAATAGTAAGCTCATTAAGTATTTCTGTAGCAGCAAAAGGCTAAAAAGTAGTGAGTTATCTCCTAGCTATCTACTCATCTATAGTATATATATACATAAATATATTGTGTGTATGTATGCATATACTATATATGTCTCTATATAATACATGAAGAGACACTATGTATAATAATTATATACATATAACTTGATTAATTCATTAACTATTGGGGCTATTTTCTCATTGGGGATGAGATCAGAATGAGATCAGAAAGGTCTGATTCCTATATTTGGGCTGAAGAAAAGGCAGGGAAAGGGGAGCCGGCAGTGTGTACCTCAGTGGAGGAAGCCCCGGGTGGAGTGGACATTGAGACCAGGGCAGGTGAGCAGAGGTGCATGGCTGTGGCTGTACCAGCTTCCGCAGGACAGGGAGGTGGAGCCTGCTCCTCAGACACCTTATTCTTCTTCTTGGCAGTCTTTTCATTGTTTGTGTTTTTTCATTTCTGAAGTAATTCAATTTTCCTGTTAATGATCCCCAGTATCAAATGAAACAGAGCACATATTCATTATTGGGTAGCCAGTTTATTATGCCTAAAAATGTTTTTCTTAGAAACTTGAGGAAGTTCTGCCTATCGCCTGGCCAGGTGTAAGATATGGGCATATATGGTGCCATGAAGCAAAGGGAGAGACAGAGTTACAGTATACAGGTATATAATTCTTCCAATTGCTTCTGTAGTGGGATGTGACTGATTTGGAATTAGAAAAGTCATAATTTTATAAACATGGGCAAACTACTTTCCTACCCAATTCTCAAGTTAACACACCTGTCTAGTAGGAATGAAATATTTTTATGCCAAATAAGCAGTTATTATGCAGTCTGGTAAATCTAAGACTTGATGGGAAACTAACGTTAAATAACTCCTTGATGGGGATTGTGGGGAAAGAGCTATTTCAGAGCTTCTTTAGTGGAGCTTCAAGCCCACAAGCCCTTCAAGGTTGCTTCTCTCAAGCTCACCAGAGTCTTAGGAGTCTCCTCCACTGTGTTGCTTGGTGTTGATGTTGGTGTAATAGAAGCTGCCTCTTCTTGCTTTTTCTTTTTCACTGTAATAGTTTTCCCTTTTGCTGGGGTAGATTTCCTTCTCCTCACAACAAATATATACAAAAGAACACATTGTGAACCCAGAGCACATGGCCTAGGATGACCAAACCAGTTTCAGTGCTATTCACCCCAGTTCTTGGTTATGGGTCTAGGATGGCCATATCCACCCCCACTGCATTATCTTGGCCCAGCTTCAAGGGGCCTGACAGTCATGACACATGCACTGCCTCATTTCCCTCAGTGCTTTTCTTTCTTGCTCCATATGCAGTGAGAATATTGTCTCCAACCCCTGGATTCCACATACCTTAGTCAAACCTTTCTCAATCCTGTTCACCTATCATTTTCTTTTGAAGTTTAAGGTTTTCATGATGTTCCCCTGATTGTCAAATTTCCAGTATAATACACTGAAGTTACAGAGACCAGTAGAAGGAAACATAATAGAGATTATGTAGTAAGATATGGATATGGTGACTGTAGAGTTTGATTTCTTTAAATCCTTTTCAGAGAAATCTCAGTATTTTTATAAAACAGGATGTTCTTCATGTCTCACTGAGATTGGTTTACAATAAACAACTGCCCAATCTTTATTATTAGAGAGGGTCATGATGACAGTGTAGTCTTAATAGAAGAGGTGAAACAATTGGGTTAATAGATATATTTAAGATATAAACCATAATTTTATAGTTTTGTTTATTATTTTATAACTTTCCTATGTTATTGAAAGCCTAGTCATTAATCTATTTTATCCAAAACTCAAGTATAAAATATAACAATCCAGTGGGAAGGGAATGACCAAAGTTATCAATTTGTTGGCATCTGATGTACCAACATTGCCATGGCCACTGAGGCATAAATTGAGAGTTAAATGGGTAAACCATGACCAAGGAAGGTTTCTATTCAAAGTGGGGAGGTTGCAGAGAGGGTAGGACAGTACTAGGAGAGTGATCTCTGTTTCCCATTACCTTTTAACATCTCTTTTCTAAGATCATCAGCAAGGTTTTCAAGTTCTGCTATTGCTTTAAACAATTCTATCAGTTTTCTCACTCCAGCATCACTCTGCAACATCTCTTCCATCAGATCAGCAAATTGAATTTTGTTGCGTTCATCTTGCATTTTTTTGTCAGTTTTTTTTTTTTTTTTTGGTACCAAGGATCGAACTCAGGACCTTGCGCTTGCGCGGCAGGCACCGGAACCACTGAGCTAAATCCCCAGCCCATTTTCGTCAGTTTTAATTCAGAAGCCAGTAAGGACTTAACCATTCTAAAATGATAATGAGTGATAGGTTCTATTCCTTTTAGCAGAACAAGTTTCTTGTATTCATTCAACATCTTTAAAATTAAGGATGAGCCTACAAGAGACAATCAGCACACAATATTACACATACACACAGAAATTTTTAAAAAATAGGATATAGTTGTGTGAGTGAATGACCCATGTCAATGTGCTAAACACACATATGAACCCGACTCCTCTTCCTTCCATTTTGGAGTGGATCCTTGCCTAGACATCCATCTGTTGGTTCCCACCTCCCCACACTCACTATGACTTATGTGCAAAATGGACTGTAGCTTTTTAGCTTATATGTGAATAACTTCCTGCCACAGCACTGCAGTTCCATGCTGAGATACTGACCTTTGTCAACTTAGCTTTTCTATAATAATTTCCCTGCCTTGGTGTTGGGCTTGTGTCCTCAGTGCAACTGTCATTGTCCCTTTGTAGGACTTCTATCTATTCCTTAGGTCAGAATCTATAATTTATCTACAAATTTAGCTTCCCATGAAGGCCTTCAATAATCTGTCTCCTACTTTACCTGTCATTTCCCATCTCTCATACAGAAGCTCCAGAGCTATATAGCACAGCTTCCCCTTTTAAAGTGTCTGCATTGACTATGCTTACTGTACTTCTTGAAAGATAGAGCTTGAGAATGTATGGCCTTCATGAAATAACCAAATTTTATGGGTATAATGTTATTGCTTGATAAGAAGAATGACTTCTAGTGTTCTATGACAAAATATTAGCTAGACTAAGAAAAGAAAGAAAAAAGTCAAATAAGATTAAAAGTGAAAGGATGAAAAATTAAAACCAATAGCACAAAAATTCAAAGAGAAATAATGAATTATAACAAAATTATATGTCCCAAATTTGGATAACTTAGAAGAAATAGAATCATTCTAATGACCAAAACTGAATCATTATGAAATAGAAAATTTGGATAAACCAGTAACAACTGAGATTGAATCAGTAAAAAGAATCTGCTGTAAAAGTAATTCCTATCCTTTATATCTTCACTCATGAATTCTATGAAACATTTCAGAATAAATAAATTCCAACCCTTCTAAAACTCTTCCAAAATAAAAAAAATGAAACAGTTTTAAACAAAGTTTGCAAGGTCAAAATCACTCTAAATATCATAGTCATACAAATCCCACTACAACAATAGAAAACAATAGGCCAGTATCTCTGATGAATATAGATATAAAAATCCCCAACTAAATACTATCAAACTAAATTCAACAGCACATTAAAAGAATCATATCCCAGACAAGGGATTCAAGGACAGGCCAATATGTACAAATCAATAAATGTGATACACCATATTAACAAAATGAAGGACAATAACATGACCACCTCAATTGATACAGAAAAGTTATTTGATAAAATCCAACATCTTCTCACAATAAAAGCCTCTCAATAAATTAAGTACAGAAGGAATATGTGTAACAGAATAAAAGCTACCTTTTACAATTGTACATCACATTCAGCAGTGCCAAGTTGAAAACTTTTCCTGTAACATGAAGAACAAGACAAGAATGCCCACAATTAGCCACTTCTGTTCAACACAGTACTAGAAGTCCTCAACAGAAAAATTAGCAAGAAAAAGAAATAATATGTATCTAAATTTGAAAAGAAGGATTGTGTGTGTCTGCAGAAGGCATGATCTACAGTTTTCCTTCCTGGTATAAGAAAAATATAATAGCTTCAGAGTCATTAGTCTCAAAACCCAAACACAAGCCATATCTAGATGACATCTCTGAAAAGCAATCATTCCACAAAGGTTTTTACACACAAGCAACAAAGATACCTACATTAAGAAGTCTTGAAATATCAACCCAGGAATTAAATCAAGGACAGTACCAAAAATGAAAATGAGAAGACACTTAAGCAAGGCAAAAACACAGGCTTCCATGCCACAGAAAAAGGAAATTCTGGGGGAAATGAGGTGGAAAAGTCTGATAAGCAACCACTTGGACACCCTGAACTGACAGCACAGGAAGTAACAAAGCAGATGCATGAGTCTCTAGAAAATTTCAAAACAGAAATAATCTCCCAGATAAATAAGGATGTGGTGAGCAGAGTGAAAGACATGATTAGAAGCTCTAGAGCAGAAATAGATAAGAAAACAGATGAGATCAGAAACATGCTGGAAGTCATGAATGCCCAGCATAAGAAAGAAATGGAAAATATGATCACTCAACATAAGAAAGAAATGGAATCCATGAAACAGATTCAAACAGATATTCAGGAGATTAAAAACCCCATTGAAAGAATGCAGAGCAGACTAAGAGAATCTGAAGACAGAATATCAGATATGGAAGACAGGTTTGCAGTTAAGAACCATGAAAACAGAGATTTCTTAAAGATAGTAAGGGACCATGAGAAATCAATCCAACAGCTGCTAGATGATGCAAAGAAGAATAACATAAGACTCATAGGAGTCCATGAAAAAACAGGAGAAAGCACAACAGACATAAAAAACTGTTCACAGAAATAATAGTAAATAACTTCCTAGACAGAGGTAGAGAGTTGGACCTACAGATAAGTGAGGCATATAGAACTCCAACTAGCCATGACCAAAAAACATCTGCACATAGACATATAATAGTCAAGATCACAGAAACCCAACAGAAGAACAAAATTCTACAGGCAGTTAGAGAAAAGAAACAAATCACCTACAAAGGAAAGCCCATCAGAATCACGGCAGATTTCTCAACACAAACCCTCAAAT